CCTGAGCCCACTTGGATCAATCCCCAGAGGCTTCCCAGGTGAGCCCAGCCCCTCTTGCCTGGCAGAGCCCTTGGCCGCCTGCAGTCAGCTCCGCCAGCCCGTCTGAGGCCCTGCTCCTCACCAGGGGCCGAAGCTGGGCTTCCATCCCGCGCCCCGTTCAGCCTCCTTCCACCCTCAGGCAACCAGTTTTTCGGCCATTGCAGGCGGGGTAGGGTCCCGCATGGTGGTCTCTCTCTGGGGGGTTATCGGGGTGGCCTGCAAATGGGTGGAGACAGTGGGGAGAATGAAGACTCCGAGGCCATCTTAGGGTGGGGTCCTGGGCTGGACCCTGGAACAGAAAACAGATTTCACCAGGATCCACAATTCCACATGCAGGCCGAGGGTCACTAACTGCCACCCACGTGTGACTCCCCAGGTTTTGCAAATGCCCCGGAAGCTGTTGAGGTTTGGGGAAACTGGGTAAACTCTGGTCATCATCTAATAAAATAAAGCATTTAAAATAAAAAGTATTTAGAAAGAGGTGGGAGATGTAGCCACTGGCCATAACGGCTTCACAATTCAAGGAACAGAAGTGGGCCCGAAGTTTGCTCTTCCATGTTCCCACCTGGGCCAGGATCAGAAGTCCAGCTCTCCATCTTGAGCTCCCCCGACTCCCACCCCCACCCCCAACAGTCTGGGCTCGTCCAGTCCATAGAGGGTCAGCTCTTTTCAAGAATGGAGCGCTGTGTTGACCAGGGGCTGCACAGTCCAGCACCCCAGCACAGTGGCCTGCACTCCGGGGTCCTGCCCTGCTCTGAGGGTGCTGGGGGCCTGGACGCCTAGGTCCCTCCCTGCTCTGAGGGTGCTGGGGCCTGGACTCCGGGGTCCCTCCCTGCTCTGAGGGTGCTGGGGGCCTGGACTCCTGGGTCCTGCCCTGCTCTGAGGGTGCTGGGGCCTGGACTCCGGGGTCCCACCCTGCTCTGAGGGCACCGGTGCCACCCTGTGCTCTCCAACCTCAGCTCCCATGACATTGTTGCAGGGGTGCCGGGCGCCTCCTGCCTCACAGGCCACTGGGGAGCGGCCTGTCCCGCAGACCCTTTAACCCGTGGGAGCCATAAGTCCTCCTCATGCCCCTCTTTGGGTGCCCTTGGTCAGGTTGGGCTGAAGGTCATAATACATCAGGACTGCAGCTTTCCCCAGGACCGTCAGGGCCTGTTCACCCAGCTGCACGGTCCCCCCCCAACAGCTCAGCCTCAGTTCCTTCCAGTTCCCCAGTTCCTTCTAATAGAAGTTCCTTCTCAGAAATGGACCTCTCCGAGCCCCCCAGGCACCTCTTAGATTTCTAGTCTGCACCCCTGACTCTCCGGAGCCCTCTGTTATTTTCCCACCTCGCTCGTTAGTTACATAAAGTGTAAGTTGCTGATTTCCCGGGTTTCGGATGGTTCTGTCTCCCCCTTCTTGGAATATGAGCTCCTCTAGAGGCAGGGAGGGTTCACTGTTTTCCTCTGTTCGTGAATCCCAGCACCTAAGCAAGCCTGCCACATGGTGGGTGCTCCGCCAGTGTCCACTTAACAAATGCACAAGTGGGTGGGGGAGCCAGGGCTGAGGGTCCGCAGGGGTTCAGACCACATCGTTTACTGAGTGACCGTCGCATGGCCACCTTGGGCCAGACCCCTGACACTGAGGAGGGGCCAGGGCTGAGGGCAGCCCAGGACCCCAGGAGTGAGGGCCAGGGCAGGAGCAGGACAGGCTGGGGAGGGGTGCCCGCAGCCACTCACCCTGTCACTGTTCTGTCTCCAGGGCTTCGCCTGCAGGAGCCACAGGAACCGTGAGTACATCCCAGCCCGGGGACGCTCAGGGCCTGTACTCCCCTGTGCCCCTCTCAGTAGACCCAGGTCCAACCAGGCCCCCAGGGTCACTTTGTCCACGGTGGGAGGCAAGTCTGCCCTGCACTGTCCCCAGCAGCCGGGGTTCCCCTTCCAAGCAGGGCGAGCTGCCATCGCTCACCGATGGGTGTGGGGTCCTGGACACACCCAGGCAAGGTCACCCTGGCTCCTGCCCAGAAGTGGGTCAGCTGCAGATAGAGTTCCTCGCCTCCATTTAACTCACAATACCTTGCTGTGTTCCAAACCCTGGCCCAGCTGACGTCCCACCAGCAGCAGGTGGAAATCCCCCTGTTGTCCAGCCAACCTTTTCCCTCTGTAAAGTGATCCCTCCGGGGCTTTGCACAAACACCTTGGTTGTCTTTGTAAACAGCGTATGCATTTATGAAAGGACGCTGCATGACGCAGACAGTATAAGGAAGAAAGTCTCCATGTACACATAGACAGTATTCACCTCGGCAAACATTGCCCTAGAGATTTGGAGGTTTTTCTTACAGTTTTTGCTCTTTATAAGAAGAGAGACGAGGTCTCCCTATGCCCGGTTGGTCAAGCAAACCCAGCCTGTTCTCAAACTCCCGGGCTCAAGCGTTCCCCCTGCCTCGGCCTCCCAAAGTGCTGGGATTATGGGCTTGAGCCACCCCGCCCAGCCTGTTCTAGACTTTTGTGTATGCAAATATACAGATGTTTGCAGAATAAACATAAAAATTATTTTATAGAAATTACCTTATGTCATTTAAAGTATTTTATGTATTTTTACTTGAATTTCACAGAAAAATAAAGAGATGGCTAAACTTTAATTAAATGTTTCTTCGCCTCAAGGACCTCTAAGCTTAAGACAGGAGATTAGATCAGCCTGGCCCTGTGCAAGGATGATACGAAAATTTACAAAGCGGTTCATATTAACAAACAACAATCAATACAAAGCATGGCCAGGTGCAGTGGCTCACACCTGTAATCCCAGCACTTTGGGAGGCTGAGGCAGGCGGATCACCTGAGGTCAGCAGTTCGAGACCAACCTGGGCAACATGGTGAAACCCCGTCTCTACTAAGAATACAGAAAAAAAAAAAAATTAGCCAGGCATGGTGGCAGTTGCCTGTAATCCCAGCTACTTGGGAGGCTGAGGCAAGAGAATCACTTGAACCTGGGAGGCAGAGGTTGCAGTGAGCTGAGATTGTGCCACTGCACTCCAGCCTGGGCAATGGAGTGAGATTCTGCCTCAAAAAAAAATTAAAAACAAAACAAAAAACCCTCTTTAGTATTTCTAATAGATTTCCTATCTAGTCTCAAGTTTTTTTAAATAGATGATCACGTATTCTGCAGCTAATGACATCTTGTAAACCTGTATGTTGGGCAGAGGGGTGGATTTTGTGGAATTGGCTCAGCTCTCCAGGGCAATGCTGAATGACGGAATTCCTCTCTGAGTCCTGATACTAATGGCAATGGTTCCAAAGGTTGACTGTCCAGTATTTGTTTATTGGGTGTTTGCACAAGATGGCCCTGATCTACAGAGAGGTGTCTTTCTTTTCCTAGCTTGCTAAACATTATGTTATCATGAATAGGTGTTGAATTGTATGAAACATTTCTGCATCTATGAAAATTATAAGTTTTCTACTTTTTTTTTTTTTTTTGAGATGGAGTCTCACGCTTGTTGCCCAGGCTGGAGTGCAGTGGTGTGATCTCAGCTCACTGCAACCTCCACCTCCTGGATTCAA